GATCCCGTCCAGCTGATATTCGGCCCCATCGATGACGCCACTACTATTAGACGCCGAACTGCGGACCTACTTGCATTCTATTTGAATCAATTAGCATGGTCAGGAGCTTGAATCACCTGGATAAGTTGTTCAACTAACAATCCGCGTCGAACGGCGGCACGATGGGAGGGGCCGCGTCCAACGACATACACTCCCGCGCCAAGCGACATACACCCGTTATACAGTAACCTAAACCGTCACTCGGGCTGACTATTTGGGGAGGCGTGCGATTCTTGCGTGATCCCATCAAGCTCTTTGCGCACGCAGCATGCGACGCATCACGCGGCAGATTCCGTACGTGTTTCGATGCGATCGCTCCAGTACCCTTTAGTTGAGATGTGCCAAATGTGTCATGCACTAGACCATGGCTTTTCATGAAGTAGTGCAAATATCTTTACTATGGCTATGAGGTTCCTTAGAGATTTATGATTCATGGGACAACCATTTACTTATCAAATGTTCAAAATTAGAGCAAATGTGAAATGTTTCGCGATCCTAACGAACGCAATCCTTTTGTAAACGTGCATAGTTGATCATTTTTTTTGCTTGTCTTTTATAGGTTTCTATTTCTCCCATTTCTATTTCTCCCATTATGATTGTAAGCATGATGTTACGATTAGCGCGTCTCGTCCACGGCACGGCGCCGCCGTAGGCCCCTTCACGCGAGATTACCTTATTACACTGACACGTGAATCGCACCACACCCCGCTATTTGCAGTAGAGCGCGAGCGGCCCTTTAAGCTGCCTTATCAACTTTAGAGGAACAAACATAAAACATGTACGGGACGAATTCAAACTTCCACAGGCGAGCCAGAAGCGCAATACTGTTGATATTTTCACTAGTAGAAGCAAATGATAAGAATAGCAAATCGTTCATCAAATTCTTAGACAAAAAAGTCCCATGACCATTGCTTCTTAGTTACTCTTTGTTACATTCCGACTGCCGAGATGTGGGGTGGTCGTGGCTAAGACGCGGCTCACTCTAGCGGCAGCCTGGATAGAAAAGTCAAGGGAAGCGGTCACACTACCACCTTCCTACTCACTTATCCCTCGCTTTATTCCTCACCAGTTGGGGTATGCACGCTAACTCGTGCATTATATGTATACGACAGCTCACCTACGATGGAGTCATTCAGCGGAATGTTGGATTATCAGAATATGATAGCACTCTCTAGATTGAAATGCTCAACCGCCTTATGAGCATCACGATCGACATATTTCATTTGAGCAGAATCATCAGTGGTTGATCATAGCCCCGTCCACCTCAATGCCCATCTCGTCTCAAAATACAAATCTGACCACCATTATTTTAACTGTTCCTAACCATTTTCTCCGCATTCTGAGGAGTTTTCGAACAGAGTTATGAATTTTTGGTCCTAGCTTCGCCAACCCCGCCTACTTCGGGGATTTGACCACATTTGCTCTATTACCTCTAACCACTTTTTCCCGCATTGCAGAACGTTTCCGGATAGTATTATCAATTAAATCTAAGCCCGCCCACACTAGTGCCAACCCCCCCCCCCTGCCAATTTCTGAATAGAGTTATTAATTTTTGATCTGAGCTCCATCCACTTTAGTGCCACCCTGCCCACTTCTGGTATTTGACCACACCAGTAGGGTCGCCCGGATAACGT